TAATTACTTATATATATATATATATATATATATATATATATATATCTACTATTCATGTTCGTAGAAAAATACAACATAATATACCTGCTAATAATGAAACATAACCTAAAATTTCCTTTTACCTGTTAAATACAAGCTTTACTCGGTGGTTGGAGTACTGGGTAAAATAATCTCTTGGTAACGGCAATTTAACCTAATTAATAAGTTAACTTTCAAAAGGTGAAACAACAGCCATTGATATTTATCTAATAGGTACCTATCGGATAATCTTAGAAGTTGGAACAATTGGCCCATAGTCAGAGATATACCTGGCACTCTCCACCCCTTAAAGGTGCCGTCACATGCGGCGTAACTTGCGTAAGCGTAATCTGCATATTCTAGTATTTTATTAACACACATTACGCCATTCTGAAAACTTTCTTTTACATAGAGCGTTATATACACACGTTCGTTTACATTTCGCGGAATTTCGAGAAATGCGTAATTAATACAACCAATTGATTAGAGTTTCTGTTGTACTCTCTAACAGAAATGCTAAATTAATTTGTTATTAGTTTTTGTAATCTGCGTATCTGGAAAAGTACGCTTCATGGGGAACCGAGACTATATGTGGCCCAACAAATCAAGTAGATATGAACCTAATTTGAGAATATATTCAGAAGTCATAGTCTCTAACCTGTTGTTATTAATAATATAGAAGCGATGACAAAAGTGGAAAAAGATGAAACAATCTCAACAACAGAAAATTAGACGATATAATATTTTAAAATTGTTTGGAATATGGAAACTGATGGTATACCAACAGGAAAAAACTCGTCATAGAATGTGAATGCGTCTGATATTCGCAGAAAGACGAAGATTATTACTAGGTGACAGAGACAATCTGATCAAAGAAATAGAATTTGAAAATTACGAAATATTCTACAATTATTGTAGAATGTCCATAGAAATGTTTAATTAGTTAAATATTTTTGGGCCACGCATTGAAAAACATTATAAATTAATTAATATATATATGATTATTCTGATTATTCATTGTGTGTTTCTTCCGCAAAAAAATTAGATTTAGTGTAATAATAGTGTAAACAGCATAAAGTAACTAGGCGGAATCTGATGTTCAAGTAAAATGATGTGATTGGTCGGCGCAAGTTACGCTTACGTAAGTTACGGCGTATGTGACGACACCCTTAAAGTATAGTTCCCCAGAAGGTTAATCATGTAATTTTACGTGAAATTTTTCACTTTTTATTTTTCACTTTTTACTTTTCACCTTGACATTTCACGTGAAACTTTTTACGTACAACGATTATGTATGTAGCTTGGATGTGTGGAAAGTGAAATCATGCACATTGCCGATTGGTCGATTAAATAAAAAAAGTTTTGATAAGTGGTTCACTACAAAATTTTTAAGCATCGGTTGATATGAGTGATGTGTCCGATTGAAAATGCGCACCTTGGACGCTCCCGAATTTCCAAATGAAATATCTTCGACTCTTTGCAGATTATGATGGATTCGGAAACATTTCTCGGTTTAGTTACATGGCAGCTAACATCTAGAAAAAATAAGTTGCCAACATCTAGAAAAAAAATAACTATCACTGTTCGGAATATACCCTCTATTTTACACAAAGCTTAGATTACGTGACCGACAGATTGTTTGTCATTTTCAGGGCCGATTCTGTACATGTCCACCGATTGTCGGTGACACTCGTTTGACCACGTCCCGATTGACCACTAGCCACTCACAGCGCTTGTACAGTGAAAAAATTCTAGGCGACAGCCAATAGCAAGGTCGATTTTGGAAAAAAGCGTGACTCTCATTGGCTATCTCATTGGCTATATTGGTTAATTAACGATACCAATAGTTGTCGGTAAACGAGTACAGAATCCCGGCTCAGAACGCTTCATTGACTTAATTTACACCCAGCCATTCAATTCCAATTCGAGTGACACCCATTTGACTATGTTCTGGGAATCAATCATGTAACTTTACGTGAAATTTTTCACTTTTCATTTTTCACTTTTTACTTTTCATTTTTCACACCTTGATATTTCACGTACAACGATTATGTATGTAGCGTGGATGCGTGGAAAGTGAAATCATGAAACATAGTTTCATAAGTTTTATAGCTAATGAAAATTATTTTATTGGTACAGTATTATATACATCTTTTAATAACCAATTGTATATGTACTACGTATACTTAATCCTAACGAAGCTCTAATCTTCTCTAATTCCGAATATTTATTAATTCCCTAAATTTCCACCTTTCCGCCACCAAGGTACATGGCGAAAAAGTTCACGTGAAAAATTTCACATTTTCATGTTTGAGAGAGTTACATGATCCCGCAAAATCGTATATAATCGTAAGTTCACGTGAAACTTTTTATTTTTCACGTTTCCGCCCTAGGGGAAAAGTTATATGTTGACCCCCTGATTGATCACTACCTACAGTGCTTTAACAGTGAAAAAATTCTAGCGCCAGCCCCTGTAAGTGTCGGCCCACAATAGGTGATTTAAGCTTTAAGAAGTAAGAAATTGACCAATTATAATCGAAAAATGAAAAGAATAGTCGACTATGATTGGTCAATTTCTTACGACTTAAAGATTAAATACTTATTGTGAACCGACACTAAATGGCTAGTGGTCAATCGAGACGTGGTCAAACGGGTATCACCCTCCCAATTCACTTCGGAATGAAGTAATATTTCTTGAGTGACACCAGTTTGATCACATCGCTATCAATCGGGAGGTGGTCAAACGAGTGTGACCCATATTTCTTAAGTGTAAACGGATTAATTTCGATCCACTTTAATCCTCTTTTCTTAGTGGAGATCCGGTGTAAATGCTCTCTAAAATCCACTTCATGTTGAAATGAACCGGGATCGGACGGCTAAATGTAAATTAAGTCATTGATCTATTTCATGTTGATATTCATTATGAATAATGTAATCTATGGCTATATTTTTACGAATTTCCCTCCCATATAAGTTTAAACAAGAATAGAATTATTTAAAAATATTTGAAAAAAAAACAATTAGCATAAATATATAGGCATAATGCAACGTCAACTCAAAATTCGATGGATCTCGAGTCTGATTTTAATTTTATTTCATTTTATGTTTTCGTTTACAAGCAATTGATACAAGACTGAGACCGATTCACAGTCTATTCTTATAATAAGAATACAAAATAATTATGGATGTACAATAATAGAATTGTGTTTATATATATATATATAAACACAAAAATTAAATTAAATGCCTAGATACAATGTATATGCGCGCGCGCACGTATCACGCAATATATTATATGTAACCTATATATAAATAAATAAAAATATCAAATTACCAACAAAGTATTAAAAATCAATCTTGAAAAAATTTTATGAAAAGATTCATTTCAGGAAGAGGCCCACAGATAATTGAAAAGTATCGATGATAACTGTCGATAAATTTTTTAATTACTTTATAATTTATCATTGTATTAATACTATGAATAAATGCATTTATGACATAATAAAGCTTATCAGACTCGAACTTGACGAACAGACTATCAGTTACAAAAAGAAGAAAAGCCCGCATATCCTATCACTGTCCTTTTATATATAAATATATAGATCCTGAGGCTGCATATTTTCTAAGAATCTGGGGAAAAAGAGGATAAATAATTTCATACAAAATGGCACAAAATGGTCTGATGCAAAATACTAATTGCAACAATCAGTGTGGAGTTATATGAACTTTTTAAATTTAAGTGACATTATTATTCTTGGGTCCTACTTCTTGTTTTACTACTATTACAACACAAAAATATCATATTCACTACGAAATTATAATTATACAATTAGTATAATTTTAAATAAAATCAAATATTATTGAATTATACATATATACATATTCATATTAGTAAAAAATCAAGGTTAATTCCATATTATGAACTGTTTGAATTTCAAGAGTCATTTAAGCTTTCATAAAATGGTTGTTTTTTAATAATACTTTGTCAGTAGTTGTAAAAATATTAGATCAAAGTATTAATTAACAGTGATTGCGGAACCTAGCTGTCGCATCAATTTGTAACATTCCTGAAGGCGTTTTCTATCCCCTATTCGCTCGAGCGTTTTGGCAGCCTCCGCAAGCATGCCGGCGCGTTCTCCTGGTGAAGCTAATAGCAATATCGGCAGATGTCTACATGCGAGACATAACGCGACCGCATGCTCTCTCTCGCCGTTGTTTTGCTCTTGTGACCGATCTTTCCCGCATATAATCGAAGAACGTGAATTTCTATGATGCAAACTTCGATCTAATAAGATCTGAGTTTTTACTGGTGTCGCCCCTGCCATAATGCGCGCCGTAGCCTCGTACAGGAACACTCGCGCCAACACAGACTAAAAAAAATTGATGTAATAAAATATTATTCTATGTTGAATTTTATTTTATTTATACACTTGAGTCGTATTAAAATAACGATTTGAATTAAAATTATAAATTTGCACTTACCGGAATGTGTTGACATAATTGCCTTAAGCATGCCAAATCACGTTGGAATCCAGCAAGAGATATACTTGCGATTGATCTTTCTGGTTCCGTGTCCAATTCTTGCCATAAAATTGTACGTATCTCGAGAAGCCAATCACAAATCCATAACTGAGTAAGCTGAAAAATAAGACATGAATTAGTAGGAAACAAAAAACATCTATGCATATAAATAAAGATGAAATTATTTCTACATACACACACGCGCGCGCGCGCGCGCGCGCACACACACACACACACACACACACACACACACACACGTGTGTGTGTTATGTTATATAAATGGTGCTGCGACCTGCCACAGGAGTTGCACTGCAGGAGTATTGCATAGTTATATTTCATGCAATGCAACTACAATGCACACTTGTAACAGGTAAACAGTAGCACGGTTTATGCTTAAAATAATCTTCAGCATATACGCATAAATAGAATGTAATTATCTTGGGTATAGTCGAGTTCTGCCATTGCGTTTAACATTGTAATGTCAACTTAATGCAGACGAATATCACATTTCAAATAAACTTGACATAGCAATTATCTATCTATTAAAATTTATCATAGATATTCCGTTAACTTACCAAGATTTGCTGCGATGATTTCTCCTTGCAATGATAATATACCATAGATTGTTCGAGCAGTAGTCCCGCCTGATCGATGAAACGCATAGAAACTAACTTTGTGGGATATTTCGCCGCATGAAGAACATTAAGTACAGCATGAGGTAACGGGCTGCTGCTGCTATTATTGCTAATTTGGAAGTTCCTTTCGTATGGAAATTTACTCTCCACGATACTCCACGCCTTGGAATCTTCTTCTCCCAATCTCCAACTTGCAGCAGCGCAGATTACCGCCCCCCCACCATAATCCAATCTCGTCTTCACAAGCTGCAAAAAATAAAGATAATATACACGATAAAATGTATGTTACAATTGCAAAAAAAAAAACGCGCGCACGCGCGCGCGCGCGCGCGTGTGTGTGTGTGTGTGTGTGTGTGTGTGTGTGTATGATGTGTATAAAAATATATTGAAAATATTAAGATATCTTCTTCTTGCAATTTTAGTCTTCACTTACTTGCTATGCTGATTTTATCAGCACATGGGAAACAGGCATCTACTTCCGCAGAAGCCATGATGATGCGTCCTAACTCGAGTACAGAAGATGCATGACATTCTCCAACTGTACCAGTTAACAAACGTAGACATTGTTCAATCAAGTGATCTCTATACGCACGAGCTGCGTACGATAACGGATCTGCTCGACTGCTTTGCGACGTAAATTCGCTATTGGGCTGTTTCTTGTATTGCCACTTTTGTGACGCTAAAAATTTTGCGCCTTCGTCGGTCATGATCCATTTCAATTTCGGAGGGACGGTGCAGGAGGATAACAAGACACGCGCTTTACCCAAGTAATATTTATGTATGTATGGAAAGAGAGATTGTTTCAGACACAGCGCAACATTCACATAGATCTCTGCCAAAAGCGGTTTCGGCATGCTTTCACTAGCAGCTTCCGCATAATTGAGAGCACAGAGGGCAAGATACAATGTCGAATCTTTCGTTCCTTCAGACATACGAAGGCAAAGCATATGTTGATAAACGATAGCGATCTCCACAGCGGATGTCTCTGCCTGCTGCCGATCTGATTTTTCCGACAACCATTTGCTGATTTGCATAACCCATCTACCTAGCCATAATTTATGAAGAACTTGTCGCACTATTTGCCAAGTGGTAGCAAGAAAAATCTCCGTACGTGATAACGGAAAAGATCGGCCAAAATACTGCAGGCATTGATGTAAATCTCGGTATGCTTGATTACATTCATGCTTAGATATATTAAATTCAGCTTGACTTCGCCAACGACGTACTTCGAGAAAAACTTTGCTGTCAGTAGGCAAAACAGGATCACCGTACAATAATAGTTTACAAAGACCAACTGCTAAGAGTATCAGATTAGTAAACCAAAGAATAACATTGCTCCACAACTGCTTATCCAATTCCGATTGATCTGTAATTGAAAAGAGAATATTGGCAAAAAAGAATTTTAATCAAAATTGCACAGAAAATTTGTTTGCGTTTGTTACCTTGATAATTGAGTATCGTTCGTCCATCCAGTTTCGTATTTACGTAATCATAATTGAATCTTCCAATATTATTTACAAGAATACCGAGAGGATTGAATGCTAAAAATAATAGCATAAATCCACATAGTGTCAGTCGAGTGTGATCTCTCATGCCTCCATTGGATGAAGTAGGTATAGAGTGTAAATTTTGCAATGCGTCCGGATCGTCTTTTACCGAAGATGGTGATGGCGGTGATAACGGCGCGGGTGCAGGTGACAAAGATGGTTCGCTTGAATCGGAGCGTGGAGGCGTAAGGTCTCCGCACACTAACATATCACGAAGATTTTGTCGTTGAGCAGCCAACTTCAGCGCCATATTCTCAGTTTTTAATTTTGCATTGGCATTCTGCAAAAATCTATAATTACGATAATTAAAAACTGTTCGTTCATTATTAATACGCTATGAAATAATTCTTATTTTTTACCTAATATAATCGATGGTTTTTCGCAAAATTGCAGACTTGTTCAATTTGGCATCGACTCCAACTATAATATTTTTCAGTTCAATTATTTTATCGTTGATCGACGTCCTATAACGACGCTCGATAGCATTGTGAGCACTGCGTTTCACTTCTCTTACTCTTGGTACACCCACATGTGTACCTGTGTTTAGACGATTAATTTGTACTTTATCAGTGTCCAGTACCACAGGAATTCCTTAAATTGAATAGAACCCTATTAATATAGCACAAAATTATAATTATATTATTTCTATTTTGTATAATGATCATTCATATACATATATTTATCAAGAACAATTTTAACGATTTTTATTTACCAGTGGTCAATACCGTTCCATTTGTAGTATTCACGAGAGTATGTATTGATGTGAAACAGGAGTAGATGTAATATTTTGTCCACCCTTTGAATATACGAGAGATTCTGACTTGATTAATTTGGCTGGTAAAAGTAACTGTGGCTGTTGAGTAACTGGAGCTAGTGTCACAACATTTGGCGATTGCACATTAAAATTCACATTTTGTGGTATTGCATACTGAGAGCTGAAGACTGTAGGTTTCGCTGAAGCCACTATCTTTTGTGATCTATTTTGCATTACTGATGTAATATCCTGTTGTACATAGGTAACAGATTGATTACTATCCGTTTGTTGTGTTACCATTACATTCGTATTTGATGGCTCAAGGATAATTGGATCCTTGAAATCTTTGAAATTTTTAAACTCATTGTTGTTGAGATTTAAAAAATCAAATGTATCTCCACCTGCCATAGGTTCTTCCAATTCGGAAAGAAAAGCTTCGTCACTAAACAGTTCATTTTTTAGCAACTCACTTTCGCAATTTGTAAGAAGATCTGTATATTAAATATTACGCATTATTACAACTTACCAATATAACAATATTAATATTTGATATAAAAAAATTTCAATTTTTTTCGTTAATATTTTTAATTATTTATATGTATGTATATAATTATGAAAAAAAGCATTTGTAAATAAGAAAAAGAAACGAAGTAAATAACTCTAAGATTCTATAGTCTGATACAATTTTATAGAGAAGTAGAGATAATTATTAAGCAGTGTAATCAAAGATTTTGCAGTTTTAATGTTGTTTCTATGCAAGTGTAAGAACAAGTAGCAGATAAAAAATAAATCAAAACGCATTAATTAATGGCAAGATGATATCAAGATGTCATCTGATGATAAAGCACACGTTAGATTTTCAAAATATTCCGAAGTATCATTATCGAGGAAAAAAAAGGCGCGATATTTATCAAAAAAGTATAGCGCAAGACCTACCATCGATACCAGTGACTTCATTCAAATTGAAGCTGTCATTCGATTGGAAATTGGGAAAATCATTCTCCTGGCCCGGTGGCCAACCACCAGGATCTCCCATTGCCGTTGCCGGCCTCAAACGTCTTCAATCACGTCGAATAAATCCACGCAGCCGTCAATATTCCGGAACAGTCGACGAAACGTCAAAAACGTAGTAGTCACAAAATTACAAACGATCATACGATCTTCATGCAACCAATCCGGGACGCAGACGTCGATCGGATGATGTTACGTCATCGGCGCATGTTCCTAAACATGCGGACTTCAAGATCTGCCACGATATATATACTTCCAATTGAGATAAACTTCAAAGCTGGTTTACATGCGGAAGGAAGTGATAAAGTACTGAAAGTGCACCGCGTTGCCAATGACGCAGTTATAAAGAAAAATTTCCAACAGCGAATTCGCTTCACTGCACTACACGGAGTTAGTGCACATTAAAACTGCTACATATGAAAAATCTAAATGTAGTAGCTTAATATTACTTTTTTGATATCGATTTTGAATGAAATTATTAATTTATATTCAGCTAAATAATATGAAAAATTCATTGTTGACTATTTATATAAACATTTTGAAGTGTACGTGTATTTTTACATTTCTATAATTGTATATATCATCTATAATTGCATATATCATTTAGTATGTACTAATCCGGTGTAGTGAAGTGAATCAAATTCGCTATAATGGCTACGTTCAGCAGAGAAAGCAGATCAGTGAGCGTTCAGTGATTCTTTATTATGATTGGTTTCTACACTTACATTCAACGAAGACCTAAAGGCAAGGACCAATCATATTGAAAAATCACTGAGCGCTCACTGATCTGCTTTCTCTGCTGAACGCAGCCAAGGCTTTTGACATTTTGCCCTCAGTGATTTCCATCCTGTGTCTCACATTTGGCGGCAATTCGTATGTTTCATCGTTAGTCTTGATCAACCTTGATAGTTGTGGCACGTGTTTCTAAATATTTTCAATTTTATTATTTTAAATGTTTCGACAGTTTCATTTTTCGAAACATCGAATTCTAAGATCTAGTCATTAAATCTTTTTTAAAAACCTTGCGGTACAACGATGGATGACCCTATTCATAATATTCCAAATACGATTGATTTTACGAGCCAAAGTTACTCACCTATGTCTTCAGGTAAATCCATTCTATTTTTCAAAAATATTTTTATATATATCAAGCACCATGTGACATATTTTCTGTTAAGAATTCCAGGAGATTTGAAAAAAAAAATTTATCTGGGTTTTTTTTAAGTGTCGATGAAATTGTGTGTTCTGCATAACGACGGTTGATCAATGTACTTTGTTTTCTTTTATTTAAGCTACACTGATTGCTGGAGTAAAATTTAATAATTCCCCGTTAGAAGAAAAAAAAAAAGTGCCAAAAAGACGTAGTAAAGCTGAGTTTAAAAAGAAAGAGCTTGTGGATGAAAAATATAATGAGGAACTTCATGAGCAAAGATACAAGCGATTGATGCATTTATTGAACAAAAGTAAATTTTATTCATCCTATCTGATAAATAAAATTGAAGATGATAAAAATAAAAAAGAAAGGACTATCAGAAAGAGGGTTAAGAATCTTCCTATCAATGATGAAAATGTATCACCAGTAAAAAAAAGAATAATAAAGGCTGATATAGAAAAATATAATATACAAGAATATATATCTGCAGAGGTAAGCATATGAGCACACGAGAAGATTTAAATTTTTGTTATTATTTGCATAATATTGTTTAAATATAGAGATTATTTAAATGATTCTATATGAATCTTTGCTTGATATGAATCTTTTCAGATCAAGCAGCAAGTGCAAGCTACAAAGGAAAAGAAAAATCTAAGTGTAAAAGAGATAGAAGAAGTATTGTCCATAGATTCTGATGTTGCCACAGATCCAAAAATCACTGTTAATAGCAGTGTTGAACCCGAATATTTTTGTGGTAATTTACATGATTACCAAAAAGCAGGTTTAGAATGGTTAAAGTTGCTCAATGATAAAGGTTTGAGTGGAATCTTAGCTGATGAAATGGGACTTGGGAAAACGATACAAGTTATTGCCTTAATATGCTATCTTATGGAGAAGAGACAATCAGGACCTTTCTTGATAATTGCACCTCTTTCCACTATGCCAAATTGGCTAGTAGAATTTGAAAGATTTGCTCCGACCATACCAGTTATTTTGTTCCATGGCACACCAGATGAAAGAAAAGCTATATGTACAAAGATTAGACATAAATATTTTGTCACAAATGATTACAGCACACAGCCCGTTGTAATTACTACATATGAAGTACCATTGCAAGAAGTTAGATTCCTACAATCTCAAAAATGGAGATATATTATAATAGATGAAGGGCATCGAATAAAAAATTACAACTGTAAACTAATCAAGTATGTCATCATTAAAAATTTGCATTTATAAAAACAGATTAATAATTTTCAGTTATTTTCAAAATTGGTTGTAATTTTGATAAATATTTAATAAGTTAATAGTCAAAGCATGATACCTAATATTGAGAATGATTTCATTAATTACAAATTTTTATATTTTATTTTTAAAATTAAGATCATTTATATTTATTTTTCAGTGTCCTAAAAACAATACAATCTATGAATAGACTGATATTAACTGGCACTCCTCTTCAGAACAATTTATCTGAATTATGGTCTCTTTTGAATTTTCTATTGCCAGAAATTTTTGATGATCTTACTGTGTTCGAGTCATGGTTCGATGTCAAAGAATTACAGCATCAGCATGGCGCTGAAAAACTTTTGAAACAGGAAGAAGAGAAACGTATATTATTGTCATTACGCGAAATTTTAAAACCATTCATGTTAAGACGAATCAAAACAGACGTTTGTCTAGAAATTCCTCCTAAGAAAGAGTTGATTGTTTATGCACCACTCACGGAATTGCAACATGACTTGTACAAGGCAGTATTAAATTATGATTTAGAAATGCTGAGTAAAATCGAGAAACCGGATACAATTATACAAACTGTAAATGGTGAAAAACCAAAAAGGAAGTGTTTTTTAAGAAGTAAATACGGATCTGTGGGAGATAAATCTGAAAATAAAGTACTGAATACTTCGCAAGAAATAAAAAATAATGCTATCGATGAATGGAAAACAATGACATCTGTGGAACGAAAAAACTTGTCAAGATGGAAACAGTATACAGATGTTACAGAACGTAATAAAAATTTTTTGGTCAGAATCCAATTTCAACAAAGAAGTAGGTAACATTAACATAATATTATATTTACATGTATATAATTTTTGACATTTTACATCATTATATATGATTTCGTTATAATCTATATATTTCCTAGTTCCAATGTATAAAAAGATTGTAAATCATCCATATTTGATTCACTGCCCATTGGATTCAACCGGTTTACCAAAAATCGACGATGATTTGATTAGATCTTCTGGTAAACTTTTAGTACTGGATGCTATGCTGGCAAAACTTAAAATACAGGGTCACAAAATTTTATTATTTTCGACAATGACTATGATCTTAGATATGATTGAAGATTATCTCTTATTACGAAATTATAATTATGTAAGATTAGATGGCCGAACTCAAATTGATATAAGAAAAAAAATATTAATGATTTTAACAACAATCCGAATATGTTCCTGTTCCTGATATCAACTAGAGCTGGTGGAGTGGGCTTAAACTTGGCGAGTGCGGATACTGTTATTATATATGACAGTGATTGGGTAAGTTAATTTGATTATTATCTTTTCCATACTTTCTGATATCCATACTTTGTTTTTCAATGCTTACAGAATCCACAAGCAGATATACAAGCTATGGCTCGATGTCATAGGATAGGACAAACAAAACCCGTGGTTATCTATAGATTGTGTACTAGAGGAACAATTGATGAAGTGATTATCAAGCGATCTGAAGCCAAACGCATTTTGGAAAAAATGGTTATCTCAAAAGAATTGCAATGTTTTAATAAAGATGTTTTATTGAATCTGAAACAGCTAATGGAATCCAGGGATTACAAAGTTGTTACATCTAGAAAAGAGGTAAATTCGTATTGTCATATAATATACGCATTAATAATAGACATATATATATATATATATATATATATATACACACACACACATATACATACATATACATACAAATATAAAGAATTGGTGAAAGTAACAATCTTCTTACAGTTTTTACAGAGGCGGAGCTGAACAAATTATTAGATAGAAGCGACTTGATAATTAACAAACAATGAGATAATTCTCAAAAATGTATGATATGAATTATTTATACAAAATTTAGTAAATATGTATTGGACAACTTTTTAATATATACAATTGAAGTAATATAACATGAATAATGGTTATTTATTGAAATGTTTTATAAATTATTTATTCCATTTTTTTTAATAAAATATTTTATAATTGAACAAAATGTTAAAATCGCTTACCCTATTTCTTATTTAATTATTATAATGATGGATGCATGAGGATTATGGCAGTATATTTTGTATAAAAAAAATTTTTACAACTTTTCAGAGCAATCTTGAATTATTTGTATATACAAATCAAGATTTATTTGATTTGATACGAGTTTTTCCTATTAGAGAATTCTTGTGTTTACAAGACTGAACTAAACGTTCGCGGAACTCTGCTTCTAGTTTTACATATGTTCCACCTAATACAACGTATAATAAATATTAATATGCTTTTTTATTGGATATATGATGTACATTATATACATACCAATAGGCTGTTTAGTTTTATAGCCGTGTTGCTTGTTATTAACTTTTGAAAGCAAGTTTTCTGTGAATGTTCTTTTTGTTAAAAGAGTTATCATTTGCGCTACAGCTCTTTCCTCGAAATCTCTTTGATTATCTTGATTGTGTCTTACATTCAAATTCCC